ACTCGTCAATATCAGGAAAAAATTAAATTCGCTTAAACTTTTGTCGTAGACTGTATCTAATGCCTATATATATAGGTCATCCGTAACGAAAGGGTTACTAGGAGCTTCATTCTCATTAAACGTCACACACTGAGTTTATGCAATTTTTAGTCGATGATCATATAGTATCTTCAGATAAATTGATCAGTGAAATTTAGAGTTGAAAGTGTGTATGTATATAAGAGTTATAGACGTTAGGAACTCTTGAAAATGGCTGAATCTTTCAAAAAACATTCTCGAATTAATCTTCTTGAGGTGTGGGTGCGTGAAATGATTTAACACAGACATCTACATCCTACTTTGATTAACAAAATAAGATAGCTTAAGAATGCATTCTGTATGAATCACGTTGTTGAGATTTATAATTAATAAGAATACTACAAAGAAACGCATTTGACTAATTAATACATTTTATTTAAATTCAGTTGTGATGGTAATTTTAAAAACAAAGTTTTATTTTATTTGTAGACTATTTATTGTGTTTGTTATTCGAAAATATCCATTCATATAAACATGGCTACAGGTGGAAATATTGATCCACAACAGTTTACACGTGTATCAGATATTGTCAAAGAACCACAAAAGATGCTCATGCCAATTGAAGGGTACGAAGAAATGCCGATAGTATCATTGGAGGAAGCTGTTGCACCACTTGTTTCGATTTTACCTAAAGTTCAAAATTATGCTTATGTGGCGAAAGAACGATGTGAATCTGTACCTTCGGATGATTTAACACAGGACGAATCAGCTTCTATCATGCTTTACTCCATGGAATGGGAACCACATGACAAATGTTTATATTTTGCCCTCAATGCAGCTCTTCGCACTGAAGATAGGCGAAAATTAAAACCGTGGTTCTTGTATTTGAAACTTATTCTTACGGCACTCGAAAAATTACCATCCACACGATGCCATGTCTTTCGTGGAGTGAATTTAGATCTATCTAATCAATATGCTAAAGGAAAAAAATTTGTCTGGTGGGGATTTTCTTCATGTACAACATCGATAGAAGTACTCGAAAACGAACAATTTTTAGACAAAACTGGTGAAAGAACACTGTTTACTATCGAATGTGATAGTGGCAAAGATATCAGTCGTCATTCGTATTTTCAATCGGAAGAAGAAGTTCTTCTTCTGGCTGCTCGACAATTTATTGTAGTAGGCTGTCTTCGACCAGCACCAGGTCTTCATATGATTCAACTAAAAGAAACAAAGCCTCCAATTACTCTTTTACAACCAGTTACAAATCAAGCTATAGAAATTGAACCATCGCCGAGTAAGAAAAAAACTATTTCATTGGTTGAAAAATAAAATGTTAAATATAGAACAATTTGGTAGAAAACTACTTATGAGTCATGAAGTCACGATGCTAGCTCATTTCTAAAAGAGTGAATTTTCCTAAGATCCCTGACTAAATTCTACATATGCCAAAATTTTTGCACAAAATTATCTGGTAGTTTTTCCTATAAAGCATAAAAATTTTAGGAATAAGATATAGACACTTAATGTGAGCGTATTTAATACTATTATTGTTGGTATGTTTTCTTTCTGAAGGAATTGTGAATTCAGACAGATCTTGATCAGTACGTTTTAACACTATACCAATCAGATTTTTAGATCTTACCGTCCTAGATCGACTATCCCCTAACGAGTCTTCAAGGAAGTTCCCAATGTAATTCTGACGGGTTTGGATGTAGTCAAAGGAGTATTTATTATCACCGACACCTCACCCTCATCTAAAAGAATTTTGTCTTTGAAAGTTAAAAAATTTTCTTTTATAAATCAGTATCATTTCGTGTTTTATCGTTAGAAAAACATTTTCTCAAAAAAAAATAAATATTTCATAGAGAAAACTTTGTGATTTATATTTACAAGATAAAGTATGAACAAGTTCCCTTTCTTTATATCTTTATTGGAAAAATCTAAAATTATAAAACTGAATTTTCATTCGTTCCATTTTAAAATATTTCAAAAATTAAATGATAGTTCTAATACTCGAAATAATTATTATTTATTTATTTATTTATTGTTGTCCAATAAAATCATTGTATTCTCTTTTTATTAAGATCTTGGTCTACTAAATCAATCTACAACTAGTACTGCAACTATATCAAAAAATCCAATAACAACAAATCAAATATCAACTCAATCTGCAATAAAACAAAGTATGTTTCATTAAATAAAAAATAGTTTTATTTTCTTTAAAATTGGGATAGAACTTTCATAAATCATTTTTATTAATTAAGTAACAATAAAAATTAATTTCCGAAATAGTATTATTCTTTGGATAAGAAATAACAATTTCTCTTGAAATAATATTCATAAAATTATTCATAGTTTAGTTCTTTTCTATTTATATATCACTAAATAGGACACTGAAATGATATTTCATCTATTGTTTTCCACTTATTTTTCTTATTGAGATATTGAGAATATGATTAAATAAATGTTTTAAAATGAAAGTTCTTGTGAAAAATAACAAAGTTTATTTTCATTTAAAATATTTTTTTGCAAATTAATTTATATGAATAAGAACTAAATTTAAAATCGAAAGTTTTCTTTTCTAATTAAAATAAGCATTTATAGAATTCCTAATCAAATTAATCAGTTCGAATAGTTTTTTGAAAAAGAAAATAATGCTCTCTTAAGAATTGAATAGATTTATTGAAAATTAAAATTAATTTCATTGACTTTGTCTTTCATCTTAAAAATATTTTCATTGTATTCTGATTAATTAGTTAATTAATTATTAAAAATATAATAAAATTCATTTTACAAATAATATCATTATTTCATCTATAGAATTTATTCAAAATATTTATCTATGTTAAT